TAAAGCCAGAAAATTATTTTTGGTGCGGAAGAATTTTTCTTTGGAAATCATAATGATACAGATCTTACTAATTAACCCATAGCTGGGGAGAAGATGTGGATTCATACCTAATCAGAATTTGATAAAGAAACTAGGAATTATAATGTGTATATAAAGTGGGGGTCAATTCTATATAAAAAAAATAATATACAAATTGATCCCTTATTTTGTGGCCGTATTAGATTTATATACCAGAAAATGAAAATAAATATAAACGACATTCCTGGTTAGCTATTCAGTGATATAAGTATTACTAATTAACCCATAGCTTGGGGAGAAGTTCCTTCCTACCTTTCCCAAGGGTATTTACGCGTAAGTGTTTATAACGAACCCAATTTGGAATTAGAATTCGGCTTTCCAATTAGCCATTATCCATTACACCACCAGCAGAACGAAGCTTACAGCACCTGCCATTACTAAGAATTCCCCCATTTAGGTACAGACCAGGCTAGACGTTGCTTAACTTCAGTGATCGCACGGGGACCTGTGTTTCAACGTCATATAACCATTCATCTTCCCACAAGACCTCAGACTCAACACGGAGGACTACATCAAATGGCTTGAGGGACTAAAGCTATCCTGGGTCAAGAGGGTGGCTGCGGAAGACCCTGTGTCTGGCAACAGGACTCTGCACCATGTTACAGCTGTCAGACAATTTCTGCGACCACATCAATCCTTTCATCTGGCCACTAGAATTGTAATTATCTGTCTATATCTCTGAGGGTGAGGTATTATAATCATTTACATTATTCAGACTGTTATCCTCATCGTCATAGCTATATTCATAACATTTTAACCGTTGTATGTTACGGCCTTCGTCAGGTGATTCGAATCTCAAAGAAGGCTTGAGCGTAGAATGGCCGAAACGTTGTGAATATGGCAATGAAGATGAGGATAACAGTCCGAATAATGTAAATAATGCAAGTAATCATAATACCTCATCTCAGAGATATGAACCAAATATATAGAAACATATGACATAAAGGCCGGAGCGTACAACGGCCGAAACGTTGTGAATATGGCAATGAAGATGAGGATAAGAGTCCGAATAATGTAAATAATGCAAGTAATCATAAGACCTCATCTCAGAGATATAGACAGATATATAGAGACATAGACATAAAGGCCGGAGCGTACAACGGGCGAAACGTTGTGAATATGGCAATGAAGATGAGGAGAACAGTCCGAATAATGTAAATAATGCAAGTAATCATAATACCTCATCTCAGAGATATAGACAGATATATAGAGACATAGACATAAAGGCCGGAGCGTACAATGGCCGAAACTTTGTGAATATGGCAATGAAGATGAGGATAACAGTCCGAATAATGTAAATAATGCAAGTAATCATAATACCTCATCTCAGAGATATAGACAGATATATAGAGACATAGACATAAAAAGGCCGGAGCGTACAACGGGCGAAACGTTGTGAATATGGCAATGAAGATGAGGAGAACAGTCCGAATAATGTAAATAATGCAAGTAATCATAATACCTCATCTCAGAGATATAGACAGATATATAGAGAGACATAGACATAAAGGCCGGAGCGTACAACGGGCGAAACGTTGTGAATATGGCAATGAAGATGAGGAGAACAGTCCGAATAATGTAAATAATGCAAGTAATCATAATACCTCATCTCAGAGATATAGACAGATATATAGAGAGACATAGACAAAGGCCGAAGCATACAACGGCCGAAGCGTTGTGAATATGGCAATGAAGTAATGCAAGTAATCATAGTACAGTGTAACCCGGATATAAGAGAGTTGTCGGGGCCGGAGAAGAAGTCTCTTATATCCGGTTTTCTCTTATATCCGGGTTTGGTCTATTTTATATACATTAACACAGGCTCTAATTTGGGACCAGAGACAATCTCTCTTATATCCGGGTTTCTCTTATATCCTGGTCTCTTATATCCGGGTTACACCGTACCTCGTTTCATACAGATAATGATAAATAAAGTAAAATTTTATTTTTTTGTTAGACAACAGAAAAATAAAAATACAGATTTCATTCTCTGTTGCAGCTTTGATAAAAGTGAAACAGGTTTAATGAATGTTTATTTGTCCTTTATCCTATAATTTTGTCTCATTCCAATCTCTGTCATCTATATCAATTACATAAATTTAAATCCGACAGGATGTGAACAGATATGCTGCGTTCGTGGCACTAGCTGTCTACCAGAGATGTTCTGAAATTGTGAAATTCTTGAAAACGCGACCCAGTGAAGAGGAGTAATGTCAGGTTAAACTGCAAGACCCTGACACAGGTATCGACGGTGAAGCACATCAAGTTCCCGTCGTATATTCTGGTTTTTGGAGATCATGAGCCATGTAAACCATGTCATATCGGCCTACATTTCCTGCGGGCTTCAGAATCAATACGACTGCCTAAGATGCTGGACACGGTGCTCAAACCTCGAGGCAGTGCCATCATGACTCTTAATTCCGTTCAGTATAATAATCGATTATCTTGTATGCGTTGGCCGGTCTGTTCGTCTGGTATATTTTATTTTTATTTTACAGCAAAATCTCTGGTTTGTTCAGATACCATTTTTCGATATGGTCGAACACGAGCTATTTGCACAGTTCCTAATGGATGCCTGTTGCTACCCTATCGTGCTATTTTATTTCTTTCGTGCCAGCTCGCTACATTTATTGATTATTGAATGTTTACTTTTAGCAGAGGCGGCCTCATTTTTTCCCCTAGTTTCATCAATTATGGCTTTAACATAATTTATTCTGATGTATTTGTTCGGGACTTCGATGACAAGTGGCTCCGTTTCACTTTTCAGATGTCCCCTGCGTCGCCATGTCCGCCATAAATTTGAACTACCTCTTAAATTACTGTAGATATTTTTCATTTTTCTTATATTATTAATTTAACTTATTATTATTATTATCATCATCATCATCATCATCATCATCATTCGATTTCTGCTATGGACACACTACCTACCAAGTCTGCGGAAAGACCTAAGGCAGGTCGTGGTGTGTTATTATAATACATTTCATGTTAAATTTTTTTTTTTTTTTATCTCCGATGAAGTTGCTAGCGTTACATAGACAAAGTTCTCCTTAGTGTGTGTGCTGTACTTAATAAGACAATTTTCTGTATGTCTCTTAAGCTGGGGTTTCAGGGATTCTTTCAATGTGTTGTTTTGTTCCATTTTTATAATTCAAGTGCACCTATTACCACTGGTATTATTCTTGTTTTCAATTTCCACATTTTTTCTATTTCAATTTCCAGGTCTTTGTATTTTGATAGTTTTTCAAATTCCTTGGTTGTATATGTTACAATCCGCTGGACAAGCCATATCAATTAGTAGGCAAGTTTTTATTATTATTATTATTATTATTATTATTATTATTATTATTATTTCTTTTGATTTCTGGTATGTACTCATTTCTTTCCGGGCCTCGACCAGAGACCTAAGGTCAGAAGTGGCATCGTAGCATTTTTCTACTGGGAAATTTTACATAGATAAAACCTTTCGTAAAGTGTGGTCTCAACTCGTGATTTCCATGTTTTGTATTTCTTTAAGGCATAGGCTGCCAGGAATTTATTCAATGACTCCATTGGAATCTTTTCCAATCAATCTGAGGGCTCCAACTGCAATTAGAATTGTTGATGTCCTCATGCACCACATTTTTGAGATTTCGATTTCAAGGTCCTTGTATTTTGATAGTTTTTGGAAGATCTTCAAAGATACATTGCAGTCATCAGGGACTGCCATATCAATAAAGAGGCATTTTTTTGTGTTTGTGGTCCCTAATAATGATGTTTGGGCGATTAGCTTTGATTGTTCTCTCTGTGTGCATTGTGGGTAGTCCTAAAAACAGGTTACAGGTCCTATCTACATAAACGTTACCGGGTTTGGGTGTTGCTATTATTATTTCCATAAAGAGAGGAACGGGCAGAGATATCGTGTAGAAATAGGCGGTGATTCGGCTATTCCATTTGTTCTCCGTCTTCTAAAATCTGTAATCAAAACAGCGATAAGAATATGAATTTTTCTCGGTAATAGCAGTTATAGTATTTGGCAAGGGTGGGTCTGAACGTGAGAGGTTGGTTTGAAGATAATGGCGGTACTGGTTTTTTTTTTTTTTTCCTAGCGTTCAAACTGATTCCGAATTATTTTGGGTGGTTGATATTTATGACGCCAGACTTTCTTTCTCGGTGGGAGTCGAGGGAAAACTTTTTGTCAAATCTAATTCGTCTTTTTCTTCTACTTTTTTCGCGTGCAGGGGGTGATGGGGGGAGGGCGCTGAGGTTATGTTGGGTGGTCAGTACGACATTCCTCTTGCCCAGGTCTGTCTTTTTTCTATCGTTCTTTGTTTGAGTCTTTCTTTCTTTCTTTTCATTTCTCCTCTTTCTTTCCATTTCTCCTCATTCTTTCTTTCTTTCTTTCTTTCTTTCTTTCTTTCTTTCTTTCTTTCTTTCCTTTCTTTCCTTTCTTTCTTTCTTTCTTTCTTTCCATTTGTCCTCTTTCTTTCTTTCTTTCTTTCTTTCTCCCATTTCTCCTATTTCTTTCTTTCTTTCTTTCTTTCTTTCTTTCTTTCTTTCTTTCTTTCTTTCTTTCTTTCTTTCCATTTCTCTTCTTTCTTTCTTTCTTTCTTTCTTTCTTTCTTTCTTTCTTTCTTTCTTTTCTGCAATTACTTCTTTATTGTTTCAAATTTTTCTTTCTTTTCATCCTTTAATTTATTTGTCACCATTTTTATTATTATTATCCAGTAACGGATTACCAACAGACTGGAGAAAATATCTGATTAATATGACATTTTGGCGTACTTCGGATTCGAACCGGAATTTTACCAGAAATTATTCCCCTATGATAAAATTTGGTTCCCACAGACGCGACCACATTGATTATGTTTCTGAAATGGAAGCTAAAAGCTTTTATCTTTCTTATCCGCAACTGATGCTCTTCTGTCATCCCAAGAGAATATTCAACTTGAGATAATATTAGAGAAAAGAAGCAAACCTAAAATCTCCATTGCATCTTCCAAGGGACACGACAAAGCCGTGGCCACAACAGAAAGACAGTAAATGTAGAACATCACCGAATCTGTCGAGGTGACATTTTTCTCCTCAGTGCAGAGAAAAGAGAGAGAGAGAGAGAGAGAGAGAGGGAAAATGAAGGGCAAATCAGCGGCAACCCGAAGAACCTGACTCCATCGGTCAGCTATTTTATATATTTCTATCTCCCCCAATCCACTGCATGATCTGTTTTCAAAAACCAAAGAACACCGTTATCCTTCTTCCTTCTCCGCTAAAAAGTCTCCATTTTCATCCCCACCCCGACCAAAAATCGGATTTTTTAGATGCGTATAGGTAAGACCTGAATATGAACTACCAGAAATATTAAAGCCGTTCAAAATGCTAAAACTGGATGGGTAGGCAACATCAGGAATTTCCGAAAGAGAGTTTGATCAGGTTTTTTTTTAAATAAATGTGAACCGTCCTTTGAAAATATAGAAAAAAAAATATTTAGCGGTTGCTCTGAAAACATTTCTAAATATACGAATCACCGGTTGAAAGACCGATCTTTGTCCCAATGGTTATGTACCCTGGTCTCCCCACTGAGAGGAGATGTGACACAAGGTTGGGTTTAACGTGAGAAACCCGAGCGCTTACACCCAAACAAAGAACAAAAACACTGCCCTCACCCCCAGAAACAGTCGGTTGACTATCAAATCCCCCTATCCCTAGTACAATGGGTGGTGCAGCCGTGGGCAGCATTTCCGCGGAACCTGGAACCTCACAGCCTTCCTGGCATGTCCAGTCCTTGTCCGGAGAGAGACAGAGTCCTCAGCCCTCACTTTATTGCTCAGTAAAACTATCCTAATCAAACATTGGCAGGATCGTCATATGCACCTACGTCAACCGACCTTGATAAAGAGATCGGCTGAGTAAAGCAGACCTCAAACCCGGCCAACAGGCCCTGGAGTTTTGATGAATTACTTTTTTTGAATTTAATCGTGGTGATAGTGTAACGATTTCAGTTGATAGCTGATATCGTGTTAAGGACACATTTGCAGGATGTTGTAGAAATCGTTTCGTAAAGGTCATCAGAGTCTCCCAAGAGCTCGGTCAACCGACCCTGACAAAGTGGCCAGCTGAATGGAGCAGACTGAAACCAGGCCAACAGACGCTGGGTTCTTGATGAATTATTTTTTCAGACGAAAAAGTCAAAGAAACCTTCTCTATAAGACAGTGGTCCCTAGCGGCCTAAACCAGAGGACAACTCGCCCACTACGCGAAAAGGTTAGACCGTTCGGCTCCCCATCTTACGTCACTCTTCCTCGTTCACCTACAGCTTACTCTTACGTAAATACATAGAGCATCGTTGAAAAATTCGTAAACTTAAAGAATCAGCACATATGCTAGGCGAAAAAAATCTCCTGAGCCGACCAAGCATAGAAATGAATACAATATGGGAGCCAGTATTAAGGAGAAAAGCAATAATAACAACGAAAATTGTAAAATGAGCTCTGGTAAAAAATACATGCAGTGATAACAGCAAAAATTGCAATATGAACACTGGTAAAAAAAGATTGCTGAAGACATTAGATTTATAATACCCATGTGAGTTCAATACCTGTTTAAGGCGGTGGAGAACTTGGAGATAACTGATAAATGATAACTGACATCCATTAGACATGGCACGTGTAACTAGAACAGTCTACCCCAGCGACATTCCAACCACCTGAAGAAGGCGTACAACGGCCGAAACGTTGTGATAAATATGACAACAAAGATGGGGATGATAGTCCGAGCAAGTCTTTTTACTTGTATTAAGCCACAAACGATCGACTGGAAGAAGCTGCACCCTGAGAACGAACCTGGTGTCTGAGTTGCAACGTTGGCGACACCTTTTTGTTGGTGAAGCAGTCCCTGGATACAAGGGTGTACCCTTTTTCTGTCGTCGCCACGAGCGAATTAATCGTGGACGATGTTGATGTGAAGGGTGGCGAGTTTCGGGTCGTTGGACTATTATTTACCCAGCGATCTCACTGAGAATCTTTTCTTTATTCCGTAGATTGGAAAGGTATGCTTGGCCATAGGATAGACAGAGAAGGGAAGTGAGTAAATGGAAATGCGATCGTACTGTGATAGATCTCCTTGGAAACAATGATCATATCGATATATATCTGGTCAATCACATTAGGTGGAATCTACTAGACATCGACTCACAGTTGGCTGTCTATTCAGGAAGTAAGCTATCAGGACCGAATCAGAGGAATTGACCTAAATTTGATCGGATGCTTCGCTGGTTCGTCTGTTCGGTGCATAAAATTAGTTTGGCTCCGATACAATTAGACATTTTTTTTTACCAAATGTTCTCGCAATTCAAGACCTAAGAGCATTGGTAGCATCCTACCGGTTCGCGCGAACCGATTCTTAAAATTATAAAAGCTAAGTGAGCCGGTTGTTGGATTATCCGAAAATAATCTTATATATTAATAGACGATGGTCTAGACAAAATGTTACAATACGCTCGTGCCTATTGAAACTCTAAAAGATTCACACCGCCTATCGTACTGAAGTTAAAAATCTGGCAGATTTTCTACTCATAAATTTGATAGGTCTCTTATTGGATCTTTGGGACTGCAGTGATTCGGTTAGAATGTGGCTAAGAAAGCATAACACAGCTGATGACACTAGAATCAAAATGCTCCATACTTCAGAACGGAAATATGATGAGAACAGAATTTCAATATGAAAAGATCTTAATAGATAAGCGTTTTCTATTAAATTATCAAAATGGTTTAATTTATACTATGAAGTGACTTATTTCCGTTGTTAGACTAAAAAGAAAATAAGCAGAATAGGTTCCTAAACATTATCTGCCTTTATAAAACCGGTTCCTGGAAATATATATATACTCAGTCAAATCTAGTGATCCAGACAAACCTACCCAGGTTTCACCTCAGCGGATCGTCTGCTCTACATTTGTATTGAGCTCTTTTTAGTTAGTTGTTTACTCGTGTCGAGGATTTTTTCTTTGGGTTTAAACCTGTATCTGTGAGATTTTTCGACAGACTTTCATGTGCCTGGCTCTTTCTTTTTTTAAAATCATTTTTTCCTTCGAGATTGATTTGATTATTGGCAAATTCGAAGGTGTTACCTATATATATATATATATATATATATATATTCATATATATATATATATATATATATATATATATATATATATATATATATATATAATATATATATATATATACACTATGAATATATATATATATATATATATATATATATATATATATACAGTAGTAATACACTGGTGTATTTCGTAGACGGTTTACGGGTAGGATCTCTGACTGATGCGAATTTCGATCTCGGCTTGAAGCAATCGGACATCTAGATGCACTGACGAGCCGTGATCCGTGATTCAACGAAACTGTCTGTCTCTGGATGACTATATATATATATATATATATATATATATATATATATATATATCGGTAAAGTAATGGAAGAGACTTGGATTGAGGAATCGGAGAGCCAGGTTAGAATTCCAGTTGAATCCATTACATTCACTATTGTGTTAATACCCTTGGGAAAGGTATGAATCCTCTTCTTTTACCCCCCAACAGCTATCGATAAATAGCAGGAAAGACTGGGTTCTATAGCCTTGGAAGCCAACTGGTCTAGGAGAAGGACACCTCTGAATTCAAAACCTGCGAAGGGTCGTTTGGGGCCCTTGTGGCACTGTAGTGCACCAGGTCTCTGTATTCAGCCCTTCAAAAAGTGTGGATGGTCCTGCACGAAACCTTCACCACTATAATCGAATCACATGTGCTGGTGTCTGGGCTGTCGGTTTCCTAGGAACTGATCTGCTTGACCTTCATACGTCGAATTCGACGGGAAAGTCGAGTGTATATATATATATATATATATATATATATATATATATATATATATATATATATATATATATAAAAAAAATTAGAAAATGCAACTGGAGGTGGGAATACACACACACACACACACACACACACACACACACACACATATATATATATATATATATATATATATATATATATATATATATATATATATATATATATAATATATAATATAAAGGCTTAAACACTAATATTCCACGGTCATAATTTATTCCAAATTATGACCATGGAATAATAGTGTTTAAGCTTTTTTATTATATCCTTACTCTGTCCTCGACATTGAGTTCTACCTGGATTCTATCCTCTTGGAATTTTTATTCAAAAATATACATGTATGGTATTTATATATTTTACATATGTATGTATATTTACCACTAATATTATCTCTATCTATCTATCTATCTATCTATCTATCTATCTATCTATATATATATATATATATATATATATATATATAATTATTTATGAAAAAAATTATAACATAAGTATGTTATAAAATCACTACAAAAATAGCCATTTTATTTCAACACCCTCGGTGTCTTATCAAGTGATGATGTTGAATGTAAAATAAATGGTTTTAAAAGTTTCAAATTAATTAACGATCCTACACTAGGGGGAAACATTGTTACAAAAGCTAGAATAACCAATCAAAAACGAAGTATAGAAAGATTCAAAAGCATGACAACGAAATCATGTTATAATAGCTATTCAGATCTTTAAAATACAGGTAATATTAAAAATAATTTATACTAATCAATAATTATGAAATTATATGATAAATTTAATATTAAAATTAAAACTGCCAATTTTAAAATCCAAATTTAATCACTTACTTTAATAATAATGCACTTACTTTATATATATATATATATATATATATATATATATATATATATATATATATATATATATATATATGTAAGTGCATTATTATTAATATAATAACATTTATTCATTATTTAATATTAGTATTATATATTATTTATATAGTTACATTTACTATTTAAATATATCATGGGTTCACTTATATCACAGCATAACCCTCAGGCCTGGGGGAAATTTAACGTGTGTATTTTCTTTTATACATTTCACCCCAAGCAAGGCGGGAAGCCACTAGCACGCAAAGGGTTACAGAGAATTAGAGCGAGAGCAAAGGGGAGTGATAGAGGAAAGGATGAAGAGAAGGATAGGGGATAGATCAGGGCATCTGGAGACGTCGATTGATATTAGATTTGAATAGTTGGAGATTATAGCTATAAGGGAAACAGGAAAAAGGGAGGGAGTTCCACAGGCGAGAGGATGCAATTATCGCCAAAGAGCCAATCATGGCAGAGTGAGATTGTTATATGTACACAAGGATAAATAATAAGTGCAGATTATGAGGATATGTAGGATAAATAACGGTTGACCCTAGATTCTAGCGACCGGGAAGCACTCTCTCGGGAGTCTTTTTCGCAATATATTGATTCTCGGGAAAACGCTAATGGAATACAAAGGGAATGTGAATGATTACAACCTAGGCTGGTTGAACAATAGAACTTCACCGTGTCCTTAGTTGACAGTTTGGACTTCGTAGAGCCGTCTCAGCAGGAATTAGGGGAGGGGCCATACTGGAAAATGGATGACGATCAGCCTTAAGTCTAAAATTAGGTTGTTTACTGTTTAATATGCCCAACGTTTTAGAACTAATCAGCGCGAAAAAAAAACATTGTTGAGGATGGTGGCACTCAGCAAGAATGGATCGGAGTTAACCTACTCACTTCGACTGCATACATGTAATGGAACAGTCAAAGTTTCTCAGTGCTTAGGACCCAACCCGATACTACTTAGAAGACGTCAGCTATCAAAGGAAAAACTAAGAATAGGTTGTTGGAACGTCCGGATCATGACAACTGGTCACGTGATCAACAATCGCAAAAGAGCAGTGATTAACAAGTATTTCGGCTTCGAATGGACATTGCATTGCTTCAAGAGACACGCGGCCTCCACAGTCTGAAATCTTTCGTAAGGGAGAGAGTACACTTTCTTCTGGCGAGGAAAAGGCAAGGACGATTGCAAAGAGCAAGTGATTAACAACGAACTATTTCGGCTTCGAATGGACATTGCAGCGCTTCAAGAGACACGCGGCTTCCACAGTCGGGAATCTTTCGTAAGGGAGAGAGTACACTTTCTTCTGGCGAGGAAAAGGCAAGGACGATTGCAAAGACCAATTGATTAACAACGAACTATTTCGGGTTCGAATGGACATTGCAGTGCTTCAAGAGACACGCGGATTCCACTGTCGGGAATCTTTCGTGAGGGAGAGAGTACACTTTCTTCCGGTGGGGAAAAGGCAAGGACGATGTCAAAGAGCAAGTGATTAACAATGAACTATTTCGACTTCGAATGGACATTGCAGTGCTTCAAGAGACACGCGGCTTCCACAGTCGGGAATCTTTCGTGAGGGAGAGAGTACACTTTCTTCTGGCGGGGAAAAGGCAAGGACAATGTCAAAGAGAAAGTGATTAACAATGAACTATTTCGGCTTCGAATGGACATTGCAGCGCTTCAAGAGACACGCGGCTTCAACTGTCGGGAATCTTTCGTGAGGGAGAGTGTACACTTTCTTCTGGCGAGGAAAAGGCAAGGACGATTGCAAAGAGCAAGTGATTAACAACGAACTATTTCGGCTTCGAATGGACATTGCAGCGCTTCAAGAGACAAGCGGCTTCCAGAACCGGGAATCTTTCGTGAGGGAGAGAGTACACTTTCTTCTGGCGGGGAAAAGGCAAAGACTATGTCAGAGACTACTGCGTTGGCTTTGCCGTAAAAAACTCATTGTTGAAGATGGCGGAGCTCAGCAAGAATGGATCAGAGTTAATCCATTTACTTCGACTGCATGGAACTGTCAAACCTTGTCAGAGCTTACGCCCGCACCCTGTACTTTTCAGAAGACGTCAAAGATGAGTTGTATGATCAACTATTAAAGAAGATACAGACCATTCCGAAAGAGAAAATGTTTCTAATACTCAACATCAGAGTGGGTGCTCACCCCGAATCATGGCCTAGCTCTCTTGCAGAACATGGAGAATTGTAAATGAATGACAATGGCCAACGACTGCTCAAACTTTGAATGCTTCACGCGCTATGCGCCACCAACACTTAGGTCCAGCCCAAACCCCGGTACAAAGTCTCCTGGCAACATCCCCTGCTCTAAACATTAGCATCAACTTGATTCTCAGATATCCAAGAAACGTACATATGACGCGATCCTTTCAGAGCGCCAACTATAACATGGATCACTCATTGGTTTACTGTAAACTCAAACCAGGTAAGCAGTATATCAATAGCACCACAGTCTAGAACTTAACCCAACCGGCGATATTTATCAAGTCTTTGAAGGACGCCCTCCTTGCAAACCCACCTAGAGGAATTGCCCAGCAGAGATGGGATATTCTCAAGGACACTGAGCAATTTCGTGGGGAATAGGAGCAAGACGCTGAACTGTTTCGTTTTGTTTACAGACACCCACTCCTAGATACCGAGTTCAACAGACGAATCGGTCGAGCTGCCACCACGTTCGCCAGACTGATCTCTAGAGTCTGCGGGGTAACAAAAATGCTTACAACGAACACTAAATTTGTAGTCTAGAGACTTGTGGGTTCTACTCCAGACAGAAGCGATCCGAAAGCATAGTAAGACATGAATGATTTCTTGAATATTAACGTGTTTCGGTGGCATGGTCAGCCTTTATAGTTGAATGCAATTGAAAATTTATGGCGAAGTTTGAAACAGTTCGTGAAAAGGACCTCGAAACATTTCCAAGAAAGAGTGAGCCAAAACTTCAAAATATGTTGCTAAGGTCTTGTGATCGGTTACCGAAAACGTCCCCGAGTAAAAATAACGGGCCTAGTTAATGCAGTTAGATGAACTTAATGTATCTGATTATTCGTTCATCGTCACTTTTTTATATTTCATTTTGCATTCTATAGTTGAAAATAAGTACGATATTTATTAATGTATAATGTGCACCCCTAATTTTGGTCTACGTAATTCCGGGAAAAAAGATCTCCTGTATAATACGCAAGGTCTTTTTATAGCAATTCCATTCAATCGAAATTTCACGTGTTGAACATTTCAAATGATTAGTAACAGTTAACAGTAAGAATTTATACAGTTACCTTATATTTTGAAAGAAAATTTTCACAGATTTTCATTTTAAAGGCACGGACATATTCAGACAAAGATGCAAAATAAGTTCACACGAGACGAAACAATCATTCTAGTTGCTAGTGGCTAATTCGTTGTAGCGGATGTAAAACAGACATTAATAGTATGACGAAGCGCAGCATATCAAAATGCAGACGATGAATTTTTACTGTTTATTTGTCACGGCAGTCAGCCACGATAAGACGCCGAGCAATGTTTCCCAAACGAAGCTCATTCAGGCGCTGTTTATCGCAAACCCAATGCCAAACACACGCGTGACTCTGAAATTTAAATATCTGGGAAGTGTCCGAACAAAGGACGAAAATTGCGGCACTTAAATCCGAAGACGCAGTGGGATGGCAAAAGTTGCATTCCAAAATCTAATCAGGGTTTCGAGAGACAGAAAAACTTCACTAGAAATAAAGAAACATACTGAACTGTTACCTAATATCTGTTTTCTTATATGACAAAATGCTGGACGATCTCCTCAAAGATGGAGAAGAGACTTCAATCAACAGAAATGTGGTCCGACAGAAACAAGCTGACCATACCATGGATTGAACATGGGGGAAACGACGACGTTTTAGAGAAAACAGAAAGGTACCTTAGAGTTAACACCAGGATGAGACAAATTTCTTGGCCATATAGTGAGAAAGGAGGGATTTGAAAATATGATACTCACAGGACAGATTGAAGACGGGAAGGAAACGACGCATAATCTACCTAGCGAGTTTGAGTAAATGGATGAGGGAATAGTGTTTAGGAGAGATAACAAGAAGACGTTTATTAAGTAATACAAACGAAAGGAAATTGGGGAGAGCCATGATCGATAAAGTCCTGAAGGGACACGGCACAGAGAAGAAGAAGAATGAGCTTGAGTTAATCGATGGCGGAACGAGTTAACAAAAATAGAATTTATTAAGACTAACAAAGTACAAGAAATTGTGAAGAGCCATGATCGCCCATGTTCTGAGGAGGCACGACGCATGAAGATATCCAACGAACGATCTGAAGCACCGTAAAAAAAAAACTCGTGGCTTGTCTTATATGCAGAGGAAAATGTCAACCAGGCAGTTGGTCGTCACTTTAGATATTTATTTATACACAGATGACAGTCAAGAATACTGTGGGCTATGTAGTGTCACGTGCCCATAGGACATTCTTGTATGTATTGCAATGAACCGAAAAGAATTCTACTATTTGTCGGTTACTGGCAGCAAGTTATGCCATGACAGCAATGAAGAATACTAAAATGTTTTTAATATCTACATAAGTAAATGACGCAGTACATTCTTTTATATAATACGAATTAAGTATATTAAAACTCTGTGTTTCTGCAGCTAAAAATAGGGAATAAATCCGGTATTCTTCAGGATCTGTCTATATTTCTGAGATGAAGTATTGCAACTATTTACATTGTTCGGACTGCTATCCTCACCTTTATTGCCATATTCACTACGTTTCGATCATTGTACGCTCCGGCATTTTTTCAGGAACTGTCTATATTTCTGAGATGAAGTATTGCAAAAATGTACACTATTTACATTGTTCGGACTGGTGTCCTCATCTTTGTTGCCATATTCACGATGTTTCGGCGATTATACGCTCCGGCATTCTTCAGGAACTTTCTATATTTCTGAGATGAAGTGTTGCAACTATTTACACTATTTACACTGTTCGGACTTATCCTCATCTTTGTTGTCATATTCACGACGATTCAAGAACACGTGGCTCAATGGATAAAAGTGTTGGTTGAAGTCATCCAGTGACTTGACCCAAAGAGTTGCGAGTTCAATACCTGGCCACAGCAGAGGCGAACAAAAAATTGGAGAGTTTAGTTGCTAAATGGAAATTCCTGAAACGGGAATATTCAGAAGAGGTATAGATAGAGCAAAGAACAATCTACCCCGGGTCTACAAAATAAAGGATTTGATGCAAAATTCCATTCACCTGACGAAGGCTGGATGGTACAATGACCGAGAGGTCGTAAAGGTGACAACAAATTGAGCCCAACAATCCGAACAATGTAAATAGTGTAAATTGTACAATATTCTTAATATCTGTGTCGTCCATATATTTCAATAAATATTTAATTTTTCAGGATCTTAAAGATTACAAATGAATCGGAGGTTTAGCCATTGCCTGTTGCTTCTAATTTCTGTTTATTGTTTTTCGGGAAATATGCTGACTAAACAGACCCAGTAATACATTTTAAACTGTCCATTAATCTATCATACTTTTCTGTTTGATATGACTCTAGGCATCCTCTTCCTCTTTTGTCGAAATCTCTGCCTCCGGGCGTAGAGGAAGCCAGACGAGGCTATGCCGAAGGGCAAAGTCTCGTTTGGGGATGTAGAGAAACCCGCCCCTAAATTATTCGAGGTCTATGGGCAATTTTTGCTCGAACTTACCGGCTCGGAACGCCCCACGTTAAAAACTAGCTTTGTGCTACAACTTGCCTTGTGTGGAGGTTGCTAAATAGAGACTCTAATATATTTCTTTATATTAATAAACTATAAAAAAATTGTCTTTTATTATGAAGAAAGAGAAAAAACTTTACAGTAAAACACAAAGATCAAAATATAAGCCAACAGCAAAACTGTTCTACTTTGAAACGTATAAAAAAAACGAAGGCCCATGAAGCAACAAACTTTACAGTATGAGAATTATAACCCCATTTTTCAAATGAAAAAGCAAAAACAAAAAAAAAAACTAAAAAATGCATAAGTCATACAATCGTTAGGACTTTGTTGTAACATTCATGTTATCAAAACATGACAGTGTATTTTCTTTATTAATGTTTTTAAACAATTTCGATGAATTTCCTCTCTTTGAGACAAAGATACTCAATTACTCTGATTCTCAAAGAACAAATATGGCCGACATATTTTTTGTAAACAAGTTTTATCAACACCTGCCTACTTTGTGTTTTATTATTTTTCTGCTGAGTGAATCTGCTATTTTTATGTTTCAAATAACAGGTTTTTTCAGCTGAATAAAAATTTCTGAAAACGTCTACTTGTGCATAATACGACCCTCACTTTTGTGTCTGTAATTTTCATTCAAAATTTCTTGTAGAAAATACGGTAGTGAATTAAATTCTTTGTTAAACATTGATTAATTTGTACCATACAGGCATGTTCATAACGTCCCGAATATGACATGAAAAACTATTTAGTTTTAGTGTATAATACGCGGCTTTAATCTTCATGCAAACATATCAGAAAAAAAACGCGTATTGTGAAGAGATAATTACTTTATTTGTGAGGGATTTTTGTAGTGGTTTGACAGGCGTGAGTATGTATTTTCGAAAACTATCTGACTTATTTTTTGCAATATGGCCGCCTGACGTAGATAATTGATGGGAACTTTTTGCAGAAGACAAAGTTCATGAAGCATTGATGATGTTTGATACTAACCAACCTCCGAGATTGGAGGAGGTGCCTTAAAGACTATACTTTAAGGTGTCTCACATATTGAGACCTTTCCTGATGAATGTCCAAACTTTAGATCAACCAGTGTTGGACCCCACAGGCAAAATAAGGAAGGGTGTTGCTAATGAAGGGAAAGCATTAGATACAAATTACTGAGATGCTTACTGGTCCATAACTCTGTTGAACACAAAAAGATATGGGCCAAGACACCGCTGAAGAAGTCCATGCAGGTACAGTCAGTAGCGGAGGGAGAACCATTACAAACCTTTGAAGCTGAAGGCGAAGATGGAATAGCTAACGAACTGCTAAGCTTGGTCAGTCACCTTGACAGAGCCTCCACAAATTTTGGGATTGAAATTAGTACCGACAAATGACTATGGTTCCATCACGGTAGATATCTTAGTCAATGGCCAGAAACTTGAGGCAGTACAACATTTCAAATACCTTGGGGCGATTATGATAGACCAAAGATCGAGTCCAGAAATCCTTGTAAGAACTGCGCACCATTTCCATGCAGTACAAGATCATGTTCCTGCGTAGACTGGTATTCTCTTTCTTCCTTTATGCATGCGAGACGGCTGAGCTACAAATAAACCATCTTATACCATGACGACATCACCAACGATCAGGCACAGGGTACAATCCAGCAAACATATAGGCCTCTATGAAGACATCTCTGCGATATGACTACGCAACCTGGCCTTCCAAAGACAGTTATTCAAGGAACCGTGGTGGGACTTAAGAGGAAGAGAAGACAAGAAAAAGTGGAATGACAATATCGAGGAATGGATGGAGAAACGATTCACGGAGACCCAGGCTCTGGCAAAATACCCCGACAGGTGGAGAGGAAATGGTGGCCAGTAAAGCACTTCGGCGCTCCAACGACTTCTTTTGGGGTTAAGGGCCAAAATGAAAGGAAGGAAAAAGGACTGACGAATCATCTACGGTTTGTTGTCGCGAAATTGCACGAACCGGAACAAGTATATATATTTAGAATCGGATAATTGAAGACTATTTCTTCTCGATTTGTACTGTGCTTAAATGGCTAAACTGTAGATGGCATTTAAACTGTGCTAATAATTTTTGATAAGTCCAAGACCTTCGATGGTAGATGGCAGGGTTAGGGTTAGAGTAACTGGGAATGAAACCATCGAGTTTCAGCTTAGGTTTCGTGGTTAAATTCGGTTACTGTATATCTTATCCAGTGCTTTAAGGACAAGTGAACCTGAAGCGATCGGAACCCATCTGATACTCCTTATTCTCCTCATTATAGAATCCTTCCTAGGGCGCCAATCGTGCACGGAACAGGCCACTCAATGAATGCCACGTACGCCGATGGGGTTACTCTCTTCATGTCGCACCCTGGTGACATAGAAGCGGAGAAAAAGAACTTGAACGGCACGAACAAGTGATAGATCCCAAGACAATACATCGGGCTTTTTTCTTTACTTTAAACTTCACCATGTAAAAGACTTGAGGCCACTCGAGGTAGAGGGTTTCATTAAGGTGTAGTTTATATAGATAGGATGAACAGATTAACATTGTACTGATCTGGGAAACATCCTCTTGGTAGTCGATTCCCCAGAGAAGAGTTCGCTGGAAGAAGCTGTTTGACTAGAACTTACCTCTCGCCAACGGAATACAGAGGGAATGTGGCTGGTTTGTTACCATGTAAGTGGCATGGCGGGTCCTAGACGTGAAGATTTGGCCTGACGGAACCCAGGAATGTAGTTCGTCGGAGCACTTTCCATTGAAATAGTGATAGAGCATTGATAGAATCGCTACATTTGTGAGAGAGAGGTTGGAAGGTTTCTTGGAAATGTGTTTATTCAGCGGGGTCCAGGCAGTTGGTCAAATGAACCCGCCCGCATTTTTAGAGTGTCATTGGAAGACGATCATTAATTAGAAAAGAAGTTGACAGATTTACAGGTAAGGCTCAGGACAATTATACAAACTTGGCTCGGAAAGAGAACAACTTTACACATCAAGGTGTACTTTTTCTTGATTATTTACCAACTGGCGGTATATTACACAATACCGGCCGAGAGCTTTATCCTCTTCTTGCTCTTAGGGACGCAGTAGGTCAATAGATCGAAGAGAATGTTGTGTCCAGTGGAAGTTTGCATGTTTTAATGTATTGTACAGGGATAATTAATTTATTCGTGAGGGATTTTTGTAGCCTTTCTAAAAGTGGTTTGACGTGTGTGAGCATGGATTTTCGTAACTGTCTGGCTTATTTTTTGCAATATGGCCGGCAGGTCACCAATTTGTCTCACGGTTTTTCTTCCTATGCTGAAAGTTAAAAGAACTTATTTAGGAACCAATTATTAGAATGACGTTAGTATGGCCTTATAATGGCTTCGGGATGGCTTCAGGGTGGCTCGGCGTTACTCCTTATCACCTTGGGGTCAAGTACAATTGTAAACTCAAGATAGAGGAACAGTTCTTCGAAGAGTGTAGACAGGCTTTGCCAAAGATTTGGTGGCTTATCACTATATAGAAAGAAGTTTTATTGGTGATTCGTGAAGAGGACCACTTCGGAAGGCAGCTCGATTAGTTGGTAAGGAAGATCCGCTCGATAACGTCTTGAGAGTCAGGTCCAGATTCCATCAATAACTGTGTTTTCTCTTTCTAGGCAGTTGTCCAGGAGTACGTTGCCTTTCATTGACAGGTTTCAAAGAGAGAATGGTCGATTGTGACCGATGCCAAAGTGGCGTTGAAGAAACGGCCAAGCATTCTTTCTTCGATTGTTTCAAGATAATGTTGGCGAGATGACGGATCGATTTATGTCTGTCGACGATGCGAAAGTATGTCACAATAAGTCTCTCATGCTATCAGGGGCAAAACAAATGGTGTGTCTCATGCTTCATACAGTTGATAGACCTTTCTTACGGTATTCCTTACAATATTCCCGGAAAAGGGAAAGCAAATACTAATAAAATGGCGATGTCGATGTAAAAATCAAACAAGTACAAAAATTTAAATATCTGTGAAATGTTTTAACAAACAATTGAAAAATGTAACACAGAAACCTTAGAGTTCAGACTAAGGAAATATGCCTTCCAAAAAGCTAAGCAAGTATTAAAAACAGGAAAATTACCTTAGAAATAAAAAAAAATGTGATGAACCGCTATGTAAAATCAGTCCTCGTAAATGCCATTGAATACTGGATATTTTCATTGCCATATTCACAACATTTCCGTTGTACGCTCCGGCCTTTATGCCTATGTCTCTCTATTTCTCTGTCTATATCTCTGAGATGAAGTATTATGATTACTTGCATTATTTACATTATTCGTACTGTTATCCTCATATTCATTGCCATATTCACAACGTTTCGACAGTTGTACGCTCCGACCTTCTTCAGGTGACTAAAATTTTGAAACGAACCTTTTATTTCGTCCACCGGCGTAGATTTTTTTCGTTCCACGTGCCATGCCTCTTCCAGATATCTCAGTATCAGTTATCTCCCTTTAGTAAATCAACTTTTTTTCTTTCTTTATTTATTTCTTTTATTGTTCTTTCTTTCTTTCTTTCTTTCAGTCATACTTTCTTCCTTTCTTTCTTTCATTCATTCATTATTTCATCGTGTCTTTTTTCATTTTTTCTGTCATTCATTCTTTCTTTCTTTTATTCATTCATTCGTCCTTTCATTGTGCCTTACTTTCCCTCTTTCTTTGAATCATTATTTCTTTCATCCTTTCTTTTATTGTGTCGTTCTTTTTCTTTTTTTCGTTCATTCTTTCTTTCATTCTTCCTTTGTGTCTTTCTTTCTTTCTTTCATTCATTCTTTCATTCATTCATTCATTCATTCTTTCTTTCTTTCATTTATTCTTTTCCTGTTATTCTTTCTTTTATCCATTCATTCTTTCTTTCTTTCCGTCTTTTATTCATTCATGGTTTCTTCCTTTCTTTCTTTCTTTTTTCTTTCTTTCTTATAATTCATTCTTTCTTTCATTCATACATTCATTAATTTTATTCTTTCTTTCTTTCTTTCTTTCTTTTTTCTGCGTGTCTGTCAGAGTATGTGACTTTTTTTTTCTTTGTTTTTAATCATTTTGTTTTCTTCGTTTCCTTCTCCCTAAACCCCACCCAGCATTACCGTTTTAAAAACAGGTGCTTCTTCATCTTCATTGACACATCTCAACATCCAGCCGGAAATAATTTATTTCTACCCTTACCCGAACACTAAACCCACCTCTCCCACGTTTATATTTTCCCGTTTTCTGCTTTGCTTACAAGTGCCTGGTGCAAAGAGCCATAACGTATTTATAAGTCTCTATAGTGATGTGTAACGACCGCACCTTGACGACATTCGTAGCCTTTATTTCAGAATTTACCACAGGGCAGAGGAACGTTGTCGGTGTCCCTGAAGTTAAAACAGTGATAAGATATCCGCCCTCGTCACTCGAAAAAAATATTTGCGCGTTAAGTATTCTACGAAGACCAACATTTTCATTTATTTTTTATTTTTTTTTAGAAAAAGCAAAGTAAATTCAAGTTAATGATAAAAGTGTCACTGCTCTGAACTATCTATTTTTTATTAATCAATTCACCCCAAGCAAGGCAATAACGTTACTAAGATGCAATGGGCTACTGGGATTGAAAGAGAATGACAAAGAATAAAAAAAGAACAGAAAACAAAAGGTAAACCACTACTCCTGTTCAAAAGAACGTCGAGGGTGTAAAACAGACGACAGGCGAACCGAATTTCTCCCATTGAGGGAGTAAATAAATAGTCAAAAAAATATTTAGTGTTTATTGAGTCATTAGGAGTAGAGAGCTGAAGTAGCCTGTAGAACAAACCGGAAATTCAATCCTAAACAGGAAACAAGAGATAAACATTTACACCTGAAGTCTGTAGAGGAATGTGAGCCGGACGATAGTCGAATTTATCTAAATCTATGAGGAAAAACTAAATAAATAGCAGATAAAATTCCAGAGTTTAACAAGAGACGTTAAATCTATTTATCTATCTTTCTCTCGATCTATCTTACAAGAAGTTTCACAGACTTACATATATATACAATTATCTACGTGACTGACCAATGAAAATCGATCAAAACAAAATTGAAAATAACAAATGTTCTCTTTGTCTGTCGAAGCTTTAATAAAAGTGAAGCATGTCAGATTGATATACGTTTCCTATTTGTTCTCTCTTCTATCTATCTATCTATCTATCTATCTATCTATCTATCTATCTATCTATCTATCTATCTATCTATCTCAGTGTATTCATTATCTATCTATCTATCTATCTATCTATCTATCTTAGTGTATTCATTATCTATCTATCTATCTATCTATCTATATATATATATATATATATATATATATATATATATATATATTATATCTAGCTCTTCAATTATGTAAACTTTTTATTCATAATATATCATATCGGAATCTTGCGGCATACAAAAGTTTGGTTTATTAGATAAAAATAACAAATTTCAAAAATATTTTCTACCCTATCTTTTATTCATCTCTCTTCATCTTCCATCTTTTAAGGAGCATCCCAATTTCCTCTTTCCATATTTTTCTCTTTCTAAGCAAAGAAATGTCGTCAGTGACTATCGCACTTCCAAATTGAAAGTCATTTTTAGTTATTTATCATTTTGTTCCATTATCCTCTGCCATCTTTCAACCAACTTCTTTATTCCAACCTCTTACATCGCTTTTTTTTTCTCAGCAAATAAATGTTCAAAGTTCATGTTGCTGTCTCCGAGGGAATTGAATATTTCCATTTATCATTTTATTTGTCTGACTTCTGCCAACTTTTTAATTCTGTCCTCTTTTTTTTTCTCTCTGGAATCTAAGACTCGAGGTTTTTCTAAAAATCCTTTCACCCCAAGCAAAGCAATAAAGCTAAAAAGACGCAAGTGGTTACTGAGTTTGAAAGAATATGAGAAAACGAAAAAGGATAATGCAGGCGCGGATGCCGAGCAGATCAGCATACCGTTTCCAAATTTCTGGTGAAGTGATTTGCATCATGGCGCTCATTTTCTCACAGACTGTGCCCAACTGACCCTACACTACTGTGCAGTTGACAGAATAAAAAACAAGCAACGCGCATGCGCTAAAATAATATATAAAATGGCGACAATTTGCCCATCGCACCCTTTATATATATATATATATATATATATATATATATATATATATATATATATATTATCATCCGATTCTCGCATAGACAAACGAGAATTATAATTCATAAATTATACACACTAACGCTGCTTGAATAGCCAAATGCTCGTAAAGTCAGCTTAACCAATCTCATTCTCCAATGCAGCATAAATAAAAACGAAACGTCTTAGATTTCTGAACATTTCCTATTTATTATTTATCCTAGCATATATATATATATATATATATATATATATATATATATATATATATGTGTGTGTGTGTGTGTGTGTGTGTGTGTGTGTGTGTGTGTGTGTTTATCGTCCGGTTCCTTGTACCACGGTGATAGTCCAAGGTAGAACCAATAATGAAGAACTCGAACACGTATATGGAATAACACAGATATATTACAAACAGGAATATATACAGAGAAGTAGAAGTGTTAGTACGAACAATCAGGTTTAGTAGTAACTGTCTGAACACGACTCTGTTTCGGACTGCCTCTGACTCGACGGACTGACTCGCTTGCTCTGACTAACTGACAGAATCCTGATGGACTTCACTCCAGAGTTCAGATTGAACTCTCTGCTTCCTCTTGAGGAGCAGTATTTATTAAGTATGGAATTGTCCATTATGTTATTATGGGTAAGGTCACATAACAATATATAACATACATGTGTGTGTCTGTATGTCTGTGTGTGCCTGTGTGCTTGTGTGTGCAAATATATAGAAAAATATGAAAGAACACGTCAGGCAAATAATCCGAAGTTCTTTACTATTAATGTTTTTATCTAAAAAAAAAAAAAACACGCAAAAAAACAGTGCTCAATACAAAAGTAGAGCCTAAATTATAATTATTAAAAAAAATATGATTCCTTCGCTACATAAGAGTTCTCATGTTTCAAAAACAAGAGAGGAAAACCTCAATATAATTATTGAAATTAAATTGAATTAAAGTATCAAGCCCTGTTTTATCCTCAAGCGAAATTTTTGGCTTGAGGATGAAACATCGCTTGATACGTTAACGCAGTTTAATTCTAATTATTATATTGAAGTTTTTGCCCTATTTTTGAAACATGAGAACATGATGTAACGGAGGATAATATTTAAAAAAATAATTATAATATATATATATATATATATATATATATATATATATATATATATATATATATATATATATATATATATATATATATGTATGTATGAATATATGTATGTATATGAGCGTGTGTATCAGGTGTGTTTGTGCTCATCTGTGTATATGTATATGTATGTTCGCGCATGTTCTTACTGGTTGCCTCATTATTTAGGTTTCGCCTGTAAATAAAATGAAATTAATAATAATGAAATATTCCCGGAAGTCTGAACCAGGCAACAATGGAATTGAATTAAAAAACTGAACTCCGTTGAAAACAGAAATACCGTCTCGTTTTTGTTTAACGCCAATTAATTGCGATTTTTAATTGGTAACTACAATTTTATGGATTGTTTATGAAGAAACATTTCTGGATATAAGGAAAAAAATGTTCTGATGTGCAATGCCACATTTGAAATACAATTTGCCTGTTTAATTTTTGAAGTTGGAAACATCTGAATATATCAGTCACGTCAAAATCGTTTCTCACAGGATGTAAGCCGTAAAGAATAGAAAACATAGAAATCATTTCTCGTTGCTAATTAAAGAAAGTTCATCGCAGTTCCCCTTGTAAATTTCGTAAACCAGAGCTTTCCAGGCTGATCGTCCTCAAACACTTCTGTCCAGCAATTTCTGTCATCCATATTGCTATTCATTTCTTCCTTTCTGATTCCAGTATTGTCTGCGATTTGAGTCATGAAAGTTCTTACTAGCTTACTTCTTGATCTTTTCTCAATAACTTAGATTCCATCGTATAAGCTGATACACAAAATTTTGTTTACTTCTCCAGCAATTAGCCCCGTAAACCACAACTTGCCTTTCACAAACTGTGTCCATAATCTTTGGTATGCTCCAATATAGTTCTTCATTGTGTATCTAGTATTTCCAGCTGAGGTCAATATTCTCTGTAGTCAAGTCTATATACCATTTGGTATTTTTTTTTCCAGTGACTTTGTTAATGTCCACCTGTTTGATGTGTATAAGAGAACTGTTTCTAATGTTGAATGAAAATTTGCTTGTGCATCACCAAAGGGAAATGTCGGTGAAAAGGTGTCAGCAGCCCTATGGCAAAGGAGAGAGAGAGAGAGAGAGAGAGAGAGAGAGAGCTGCAGATTGATAACTCTCTACAGCAATTTTGCAGATTCTAGTTACTATATTCTTAATACATGGCATAATGCAAAAATATTACAATGTTAAAATCGGTCACTAATTATTAATAACTATTTATACTGCAAGTTATGCATGCAATTACAAGTAATCCAGAATAATATTTTAAATTGTGAAATCATATTCATTTTTGGTATATGAATTTTTTGAAACTGTTTTGTAAATCTTTGATTGTTTTTTTCACACGTACCCAGTCGCCTGCTATCCTCTTCCGCCTCACCTGCTATCCTCTTCCGCCTCACCTGCTATCCTCTTCCGCCTCACCTGCTATCCTCTTCCGCCTCACCTGTATTGTCTTCCTTCTCACCTGCTATCCTCTTCCGCCTCACCTGCTATCCTCTTCCGCCTCACCTGCAATCCTCTTCCGCCTCACCTTTGAGGTGCATCAAATCATTTGGGAAAAGAGTTGCACTTTTTTCCCCCCATTTTTGAATTCCAGATGATATTTATTTTTGACAATGATCTTCCTATCATTTCAATTCTAATATCTTTGTCTTATGATCAATT